TCTACTATAGTCTTAAAATGTTTGGATTCCTCCCTGTATTGTGTTAACAAGCTCTTCTTCTTTAGCTGAAGAACCTGATAGTTCACTTTCTTGATTTTCTTAGACTGTGTCTTCTTAGGTGAAATGTTCTTGTCTCTAAGAGTATTAAGCATTAGAAGTACTTCCTTCTCTCCTGTCACTTTGTTGTTCCTCTCTACTAATACTTTATAATATAGTAGTTAGGTTGTATTGTGACTGTGCCAACCTGTTCAGGTATACTTAAGATATTCCTGATTCAACTTGTACTTCTTGTACTCTGTTAGTAAGGTCCTGTATCTTGTCCAAGATTTCCTGTAGCTTTGTATGAATATTAAAAATATTCAATCCCTATATATTTAGATCTGATTGTATCTGCTCTAGCTTTTCTCCTTGTTGTTCTGATTGTATAAGACTATACAAGTATGTGATTTCCCCTTGTATAGTTCTATAATATATGTCTTGACTTTGAGTAGACCTGATTATTCTATTAAGACCTAAGAATTGTTGTATTCAAGTCTTTGTCCTTGTAATCTAAAGGCTATAATAGGTCCCCAATTTATTTGAATAGGAGTGGCTAGAGTGTGAACCTCTTCTTTGAGCCAATCTTGTACTGTTCCCTAATTGACTCTTCCTCTTACTCTAAGTATATGTAACAAGGAGTGTTTCTACAAATAGTAGGAATATAAGAATGGTTGAGAGATTGGATAATAGAGGGCTGTATAATAATAAGCTTCTGCCTGTACTTAGTACCAGTTGTTGTATGTGTAATGTTCTAATCCTTTCCTTGATCTGATACAAAGCTACTTTTTATAGCTTGTTAACTTTGTTTAGTATAATATTACAAAAGTTACTTACTTTTGTAATATCTAGATATCCTTGTTCTAGTACAAGTAATGTACTGTGTAACAGATTACAATGTTGTTGTAATGTGTATAAATAGCCTGAGTATCCTTGGATTTGTTTAATCCAGACTTGTTGATTGATAGGAGTGCCTACTATATAGGCAACAGTTGATACTATTCTTCCTTACTTAAAAGAGTTTAAAGGAATTTCCCCCTGTATCCAAAATGGTATTCCTTTAATACCTCCTAGTATCAACACTTGTTCCTGTGTATAGGCTACTAGGTAATCAAGAACTAGTAGCACTTCTTAATTAATCTTTCTTTTCTTACTATAAAAGAAAGTTACTTGCCTTAACAACTGTTCCAAGTAGTAGAGTAATTTATCTACCTACTTTAAATGTTAATTATTAAGGTTAGTTAATATTATAAAGCAAGTATTAGAGTTGATGTACCTGTGTGCTAGCTCTAGGTTTAAGTTCCTCTTAGTAGACTAGAGCTTTACTAGAATAGTAAAGATTTGTAACTAAGTTGGA